ATTATTATAATTTATATATTTAATATCTGACATGACATGATGTGATATGAACAGTGTCATAATAATGTGGCTGAATGGTATCCAAGTAATGTGCAACTTGTTCCAATTTTTTATTAATAAAAAAAGAACAGAAAAGGAAAGAAAAAATGAATATGAAGCAAGTGGTATTATTTGTTTATTTTTTATTAACTGAAAAGGAGCGAAAAAGAAAAGGGAAAATGAATAAAAAGCTTGCAACTGCGTGAATTTGCAGCAAATTCAATCGAAATTCAAGATTGGAAAAGGATGAGATCACAAATTGTGTAAGTTCTTTCTTGTTTCAAGATTTGAATTCAGAGGAATTTTGGGAAATTTTAGATAACAATGTGATGAGACTTTATTGGAAAAGAGGAACAAGAGGATTTAGGATTCTTTTATATATTTTTTGTACCTCCAAAATAGGATCGAAAATGGAGTTCATATCAAGCTTTGCAGGAACATTTCCGGGTGAAGATGTAGCCGCTTTCCGGCAAAAATTGACTTCGAGTAAATTATGGAGCCCTTCCTCTAGCGGCAAACTGTTGATGTCGAAAATCGGACGATCAACTGTTGATTATAAATTGAATTATTGTACCAAAAATTGAAGGACAAAATGAAAGAAAATTGTGTTTCTTGTATTATTTGGAGAGCTCTTCTCTCTCTCTCTCTCTCTCTCTCTCTCTCTCTCTCTCTCTTGTGTTATGGAGGAAGGGAAAAAATGGGAAGAAGAAAAAAGCCCCCTCCTCTCTCTTTTTATTTACATTTTATCTCTCTCGACCCTCTACAAGTGGATGTCATAAAAAATGAATAAATACATTTTTATTTAATGTAAGATAATCATTGTGGGACCCGCGCACAATTGCTGACGGCTTCGATTGTCGTCTACCTGAGGCAGCTTCTGGTTGATCAGTCGAGAACCAATTTGTATATTTATTTATTGCGTATTTTTGACTCCTCGGTCATTGGACAGTACTTTATTATTTTACTTACCGTTATTTAATTGGAGCCAAATTGGGTATCAACAACGTCCCAGTGGGGAGGCCCGTAAGCTCTCATAAGATTTTCTTTAACCGTTTAAATTTAAAAAT